CACGTCAAGTGCATGCAGATAAAATGAAGGCTACGGCAGTCACGAAAGTGACCTCAGCAAACAGCGTCTTCGAAATCCCGGAAACCTCGCAAGAACCATAATCAATACGTCACTTCTTTTTTTTCCGCCACTCAAGATCACAACTTCGATCTCACTACCCCTCCAGCAGTGTATTAGGTAGCACAAGCAGGAACCTTCCCACAACCCGTCAACACAAAAGAAAAAAAGGAAAACTAATTAAAATAAGATTAAAAAAAAACGACCATATGTAAGGCCAATCAGGGGGGAAAAAAAAAAAAAAAAAAAAAAAAAAAAAAAAAAAAAAAAAAAAAAACCACACAAAAAAAAAAAAAAAAAAAAAAAAAACAAAACCAAACAAAGCCGAACAAAAAAGGAAAAAAAAAAAAAAAAAAAACCAACTGTACCACCACCCAAGTCACCAATCCGACTTTTTGCAACCCCCCGAACACGGTCCCCGGACGGCAGCCACGACCCCACCCGCTCCCTCAAACCCCATTTCACCGGATTAAAAAGGGAGAAAAATAAAAAAAATAAAAAGAGATTCAATCCCCGGAGATAAAAAAGGAAAAGAAAGAAAAAAAGGAAAAAAGAAAAAGATTTGAAAAACAAAACGCATCTCAAAAGTCACCGCCAACCCATATGCTGCTCGCCCTCTATCACATTGTCTTGCTTGTAGTCGTCCCTGTTTTCTACTACTGAAAAACAAAAAGAAGAAAAAACTTCAAAAAAGTAAAAAGTGAAAAACAAAACACAGCCCAGGAGCCATCAGCAACCCACGTAGCTGCTCGTACTATATCACAGTGTGTCTAACTCTCAGTCGTCCGGATTGTCTTGCTAGCAAGTAACTTTGGTATCATCTCCCTGGTGATTAAAAACTTTCCTAGCATCGAATATAGAATTTGCTTCCCTCCCCCTCCCAGGCCAAGATGGCCACTCCAGCCCCAATCACCTTTCAGCGCCGCTTCTCTTCAGTAGTGGCAGCCAACACAAAGAGTGCAGACAAAAACCCAGAGTCGAATGGAACTCTGATAGACCACGAAACCCTCCGCTTCTTACTGGAATCGCCTCAAATCAAAGGGGAAAGAGTAGTAAAGAAGATTCAGCAGGACGGAGAGGAACAGTTTGGTGCTACCCGAAGGAAAAAATCGAAACCACCAACGCCATGTACGCGAAACATGGGCTAGTTTTCACTTTTTCCAACACTGGGGCTTGCCTCCCAGAAATCGAGAAACACAAATGTATCACAAGGACAGTGCAACGACACGAAAATCTCAGATCCAGCACGGACAGATTCTCCATTCTGGTACTCATCAAAAACATGATGACGGTGGTCTTCAAAGACGCCGACCAGGCATTCAACCTGATCAACAGACACACCACACTGAACTGCAACGGGTCAGTATGTTCACCGTCCCGCTGGAAACAGGAGACAACACAGAAAGCCATGATCTCCCCGGCAACCGCGCAAAAACAGCGACTCGTGAGGGACCAATTCTGGGTCCAATTTGACAACATCCCGATTAGAGGGCACCCACTGATCAAGGACAGACTGGAAGTGGAGTACCCAAACAACAAAGTGTTGAAATGGGTACTTCCAACTCTGGAATTCCTGGCCCCACACTGTGACTCCATCACAGCCGTTTCGGAAGTGAACACAGAATCAAACCCCGAATTCCCGAAAGAATGGGAATTTTGCATAGGGGAGGAAGCATCTTCGGTAACAGTCTCGACGAAAGATGCCCCATCTGTTTCAGGTGCAGAGAGAGAGGACACCTGGGCACAGACCTAGCGTGCCCGAGATCCCCCGAACACTCCAAAGAGAAGAAACTGAGACAGAACATGCTTGTGGAAGTCGAAGAAGCAAAGGGAATATGGTTCGTCAACGACCAGGATTACAACGGATGGGTCTTAGACGACACCCTCGACGACCCGAAATGGATCTGGACATACAACACGAACCCGTCAACAAAACAGCCAGATATATTCCCCCCCTCAGATAGTAGATGGCACGCAGTGGGAGCAAAGAAAGTAACAGGTATCCCAGGAAAAATCCACAAAGATCAGATCATCGACCCACGAGCGATCAGGGAAGAAAAAAAACACGAAGATCTACTGTGGGACATGGAGACAATCAAGACCAAGACAGCAGAAACGTGCCAGAACACCAACCTGGACAACAATACCCTGCTGCAAGAAGCGAAACAGACCCTCGAGCACCGCCACCCAAAACCAAAGATCCCCCTCCCTCTTTAACGGAACGCCTCTCCCTCCGCCAAGAACTTCCAAGAGGATAGGGCAGGTAAGAAGAGAAGGGCAACGGAGGAGGGCTCAGGTAAGATTCTCAGATCTAAGCACCCCCCCATTGACGACCCCCCCCCCCGGGACAGACCCGAACTCAGCGGACACGGAAACAGAAACAGACACCTCACAAAGCAAAGCAAGCCCCATTCCCTGGCTCGAAGAGTACCTGCAGCGAGGAAAATAAGAAAGGGAAAAAGAATTTGACGTCTGACTAGCATGCATGAAACATTTGGAGAAGACAGGGAAGCCAGCCAATGGAAAAGCAGTGGTCGGAATCCCTCAATCCAAGAATTTTTTCGATATGCTGCGCATGAACTCCGAACTCTCTGAGTTCAACGCCTTCAGATATTACGAAAAGAAGAGGGAAAGAGAATCTGCTGGAACAGACACCGGCACAGGTTTTGACCCCCAAACCTCGACAGACTCCATCTGAGACATGGTTTCCAAGAACTGGAAACCGTTGAAGGGATGGGACAAGAGGCCAAAGGGTCCCCCCAAGGACGAAGCAGGCAGCAAGAACGTACAGCGCAGACTCACGCAGGAAATTGCAACAGTGGCAGCACAGACAAAAAGGTTGTTCGACTAGAACCAGGACTACAAAAGGAGCAAGGAGAGAAGTTCATAACGGATGATCGCGAAAAACAAGGCGCCCGACGTCCCCAAATCAGCAAACGTTGATAGGGGGACCATCAGGGCAGTAAGACCGTTGATCCTAGTTCGTTTCAGAAACAGACTCAATGAGTGGCAGGTGGCCGCGGACGCAGTGTTCACAATCCCCACCCTCGACGACGACAGAGCCCTGTCCAAGAGTATCAGGGACAATATCTCAGCGGAGACCCCACAGGGGGTGTTTGGGATCCTGCCACGGGAGCGGACAGCCGAAGGGAAGGCGCTGGAAGAATCGATCCTCACCCTTTTCGATCCCATCCTGGTCAAGCTCGACGAGAAAGCCAAAATCTGCGAAGGCCTAACATGGAGGGCTTGGGACACGATCACGATGCTGCCATACAACGTGCTGAACGGAAGGTTCATCACAACCGACATCATTGCAGACTCGCTGACCGACATCATCAGGACCCGCATACTGACTTCCAAGACCTCGCTGCAGGACGAGGCGACCCCCATCGACTTGGACTTGGGGAGGGAAGAATCAAACATGGAGGACGATGAGGAAGACGGGATGGATGTGGGCGACAAGATCTCCCCCGGGGGAGACGACGCCGGGCCTCGCGTGACGACGGAGAGCAGCGCTGGAGAGTATAGCCTAGGCTCCTCAGCGACAAGTGAGGACAGCAGCCTCAGCAGGGACACTGACACCGACAGCAGCAAGACCCAGGCCGCAGTGGACTGAATAACTTACCACCTGCAAAAATAAAACCCCACCCCAAAAAAACAATATGGAAAAACTGCACCGGTAATCAATCAAAAGTTAACCAGGGAGGAAAAAGAAGAGAAAAAAAAAAAAAAACAAGCAACAATGCAGAGTCCCACAAGTAGCAGATACGGGCAGGACAACCCAACCAGGATAAACTGGCACGCTAAAGGGCTCCAGATAATCAGCTGGAACGTCAATGGCTTGGGGAACGTTTTGACAAAGGAAGACAAGCTCAGAGATCTACGGACGGGCCTAGTGGGGAAGGATACCCCTAGACCAGACCTCATCCTCCTCCAAGAAACTCACCTGTCCAATCTGATCAACCACTCGAAGATACAACAGATGATGGAAAGAACCTTAGGGGGATGCACATTCGCTCCGTGGTCTAATAAAATTGGTGAAAGCAATAAAGGAACTGCAATACTTGTCCCGAAAAGATCCAAAATCCTGTCCGAGGGACAGATCCTGAACAGCAAGGGGGATTGCAATGATGGGGGATGGTCTTGGCTAGACATCGAATGGCAAGGAGAAGACCTGCGAATCCTCAACCTGTATGCACCAAATATGGAATCCGACAGACTAACATTCTTCGAGAACATCAAATCCCTCATCCCCAACCCACAGCCTATAATCATCGCAGGGGACTGGAACACGACCCTAGACCCGAACCTGGACCGAATCTCAAGAACAACACTAATGGGACCCACAAGAGCGGGCACCCGGATTCGAAACCTAATGACTGAATTCGAACTCTGTGACCCTCTCAGATCACTACATCCGGATAAAAAAGTATTATCCCGGATAAGGAGGAACCAAGTCAACCGGACTTCATTGTCCGGGATAGACTACTTCCTCATATCCGAGAGCTTACTCGGTACAGTTAAAGAGGCCGAAATCCTCCCATCGGCAGCATTCAAAGGATTGGGCCACAAACCCATTCAGCTGCTGCTGAACTTCAATGTACCAGTCCAAACAGGCCAGGGTTTTTTCAAGTTGAACAACTCCCTAATAAAAACCGAGAGAATGACTGCGTCAGTCAAAGGAAACTAGGCTCTCAACAAACAGCGAGATTCTAGGCAGATAAACAGCCACCAATGGCTTATCGACAGTTACATGAACCTAACACAGATAGTTTCAGCGGAGTCCAGAGATATCACGAGAGACCGTAAAAGAAGAAGGGAAGAGCTCCAGTTCGGTATAGCCATTGCAGAAGCAAACCTGGCGGAAGACCCAACCAGTAGATTCTACCAAGAGTTATTAGACGACACCAAAGAAGAACTGAACGAGTGGAGAAGATGGGAATTGAGAGGCCTCTAAATCAGAGCAAGGATGACAGACTACGCACTCAACGAATCCATGACAAAATTCTTCTTTTCTAAAATAAAAGCTAATGCAAGGAACAACATGATAGAAACCCTCAAAGACCCAACAGACCAAGGGATCACCAAAACAACAGGCCTCGAGATGGTAAGGATAGCCAGATCATTCTACGCAGACCTTTACGAGTCAAAGACACCCTCACCCCCGACCACAGCGAACCTAGCTGCTCGTCAACTCATGCTCTCATACCTTGACAGAACCATCACAGATACTCAGGCGGAAGGCCTCGACAAACCCCTGACATTGGTCGAACTACACATAGCCCTGACACAGATGGGAAACGATAAAGCCCCGGGCATCGACGGACTCTCCAAAGAATTCTGGAGCTGTTTTTGGCCAACCCTGGGTGAAGAACTGCTCGAGTTTTTCAGTGAAAGCATGCGCAGAGGAGGCCTAGGAGAAGATCTGAGTACCAACGTGGTCTCACTGCTTTACAAGAAGGGAGTCAAGATTCTCATCAAACAGTTCCTCTCGTGGTCTCACTGCTACCGACCAAGAACTACGCAATGTATTAAAAGGTTGTCACTCCCTCTCTAATAACGTAACGCTGATCCAGAAAAGCATCCTTGCAAACTGGTTCCCCCTCCTGAAAGAGGAATTCTCATGGAAATCCGGGGACTGGGGAGTACTAAAGTTCCTAACCCAGCCCACCAGAGCATACAGATTTGTTAATAGAACCGGCCCATCTTTTACTCCTACCCCGTCGCCAAACACAGCACATACGAGTTGGAAATCCAGAACAAAGATCCCCAACACGATACACTTGAAACCTTTCGGCTGAGGAAGGTGAGGGTGTCAAAGGCTAAACCTTGGAAGATCTTCCAACCGAACCTCGGCATCTCAGAGCTAGAATTCGACCCGAAAGAATGGATTTGGAAACAGGGGAAATCAGGGAGAACGAGAACGATAGCCGAATATGATGTTAAATTCGGCTATAAGTTGGGCCTGCAAACCACTGACCCGGACCCCAGACTCAAAATCAAGTGGAGGGAGATATTGAATCTGAACCCCTCGGTCCCCGTATCAATCCCGTGGTCGAAGTTCCTGTTCATTAGACCGGCCAGGATCCGAAGCATGCAATGGCTCTTAGCGCACGCATCCTTGCCTACTAACCATTGGCTCCACAAGAGAAGAAAACACACAGACCCCGGCAGCACTGAGTTATGCAGTCTATGCACAGACAACACCTCGGAAGATATACCCCACTGCCTCCTATACTGCAAGGAAGCAGCATGGATATGGAACAAAGTATGCGACCTCTGGACCTTCCTCTTGTCATCACCCCCCCCCGCCCATAACCCCCCTTAACATCCTGCTCTTATCTAACAACACTAACAATCTCAAAGTCGGCAAGGAAGTGTGGTTCCACCTACTCAGAAAGTTGGCTCTATGGGTAATCTGGAAGAGGAGATGCACCAAGACGATCGAAGGAAATGAGGTGCCAAGAGAAGAAATGTGGGCAGTACTGCTGAGAATGGTTGAAACAGAGATTCGAGCCAGATGGAAGGAAGTGACAGCGGCAACGAAAGGCAAACCAGAAAGGATAACCATGAAGAGACGAGTGTTCATAAAAGACTGGCTGCTACAGGGAAAGATTGCCACTCCGATGGAAAACAGATTGGACCAGGTGTGGAAGAAGTGGCACAGCACAAGGCCAGGAACTTAGAGAGAAACAAACTGAGATTATGATCTCAACGAGTATAGACATTCCTCCTCTTTTCTTGCTTTAAACGCGTGATTTGACAGAGACACAGTAGACTCTGAGAGGAAAAGTGGGAGGGCAAGTTGACAGTCAATCCTCCTGATAAGGAGTAATCAATGCTGGTCAGGGTTCCTTCGGCCAGACGGAAGGAAGTGTGAGGGTGTTCACCATGTATTCTATCTTTTGACTTGCCGGGGTAAAGGAACCAGACTGACGCTCCCCAGAATGGATATGGAGCCAAGACCATAAGGACATGTTTTAGCAAAAAAAAAAAAAAAAAAAAAAAAAAAAAAAAAAAAAAAAGTAGTTTTTTTTTTTTCTTTTTTTCTTTTTTTTTGATTGGGAGCAACACCTGCTGGAAACCGGGTCCAGCGTCCCATAGATACAACCATATCCTCACAAATTGGCACAAACTGGGAACCGGGCCCAGCGTCCCATAACGAGTGCGTTCAGAAAACTTCATCAGAAAAAATTCCTACTTGAAAATCTTAGGCTATGGAACATAAGATCCCGAGGCCCAACTACTTCAGACATGTCCCTGACAACGTCATGATTAAGCAAAATTCGAAACAACTCAGAAAAATCCCCTTCAAGCCACTTTACCACCCTCCGGCAAGACTGACTGCAGCGGAGCCACCATCTCTGCTGTTGCTATGCCATACTCTCATCCCACCAGCTAGCCCCCTCACTGCTAGGACGCGTGATAACCCACCATCTTCTCCAGCTCACCTTATTTTCTTTATAAAGAACCTGAGAACTTTCCTCAATGTTTACGGCCCAAATGACCCCAGGGAGCGACAAATTTTTAATGAAAAACTCAAAGCGAAATTACCGGTGGGTATTCCAATAATAATAGCAGGGGATTTCAACGCGGCCCCGGATCGCTGGCTGGATAGATGGAAGATTCCGTCCCTGTGCCCCTTCTACGTGGAGAATGACGAAAAAATTATTGCGGAACTGACTCAAACTTTCCATTTAGTAGATTCCTTCAGACAGGCATTCCCCACCAGACGGGAGTTCACCTGCTTCCGCAAGAACCAGGCGCAGAAGATATCTAAATCACGCATTGACTTAATACTCATCTCAGAGGAACTGCAGGGGGCGCTGCAAATAGCAGAAATTTTTCCCTTCAGCCGGTTTGCCAATGCCTTAACTAGCATCTTGTAAACCACCGTCACAAGTGCAATCGGTCTATAGTTTCGTTTTTGCACCTTTTTTGTATAAGAGTGTGAGAACTCCCTGCCCCACGAATTCACCTGTTTCTCCAGTCTCCCACATTTTTTTATAGAAATTCATTAGATCCTGTGAGATGTCTTCCCACATTGCCTCCCAGAATTCCTTCGGTAGACCGTCTATGCCTGGGGTTTTCTCCTCCTCCATCAGCATGAGTGTTGTCCACACTTCTTCTTTTGTGAGGGGCTGTTCTAACACCCCTTTTTGTTGGTCTGTTAGTGTTCTGGTGAGGGGCAGCAGGAACTCGTCTATGTCTTTCATCCTCTGCACGTCCTCCCACACTCTGATTGAAAGAGCTCTTGATAAAAATCCCTGACTATTTTTGTGCAGGCCGCCGTGACCGTCAACCACGGCCCTTGGCAAGCTTTCGGGTCCTCCAAGGCTTCTATTGTTGTTCGCCCTAGTTTGACCTTAGCCATTGGCCCATTGCAAAGAATCTTGTGTCCATAGTGGCTTCCACGTTATGTTTGTGAAGTTTACCTCTGATCCTAATGCCTTGCCACCGGTGTTCCATCTGCGCCAGGATCCAGGTTTCCAGAGTCTGTATTTTGTCAGCTAGAGCGGCTGACCTCGCAGGATTGTTCGTGTTTTCTTCCTGCAGTTGGAGTTGCTGAAGTTGATGTTGGAGATGTACTTCTTCTGCGTTCCGTTAGGCTGCGAGCAGTTTTGAGTATTCATTGCACTCGCGGCCCAAAAATGT